TGTCCTCGTTTTCGATTTCAATTCTCTCAAGGTATCCTTTTAATCGTCAGTGGCTTGTAAGGAATCCAGTGACAATGCGAAGATTATTCTAACACATTGATATAAGATCTTTTGGTCTCTTGCTGATTATTGGTGAGCTCAGTGCTTTAATGGCTGCTTGACTGTCTGAGAATATGACAATCTCTCTCTTTTTGTAGTTTCTGTCAAGATTGAACTCATCACATCTACTTATAGCGTTTATTTCCGCCTGATACCTATATGTCTGGATGTTTTCGTTTTTTTTTTCGAAGAACTTGATTCCGGGCCCAAGTACTCCGGCTCCTGTCCCTTGTTCAGTTAGTTCTTGACCCATCAGTATACCAGTTTATGGCTTTCTGCTGCATTGTTAGAATGGATGTGATGTTTCCTTCCAATTCTTCTCTGCTTCTTATCACTACTGTATATGTTTTGATCATATGCTTGACTAGAGATGCCAATTCTCTCCTACCTCGCCAGTTTCCTCCCTCCTTATTCTAGTTATTGCTTTTCTTGCAACCCCCTCCACCACGAAGTGAAGAGGTGCGAGACTTTTCATTGCGCCCGTAATGCAAGTGCACGCCAGGCACTGTAGTTTGTTGAGAGTTGCTTCTATATTTTGCTTTTCCACTTCTTTGAACCAGACTATCCCTCTGTACAGGGTGTCCTTAGATAAACTGACACATTTTAGAGATGAATATCTCGAAAACGAGAAAAGATAACGGGATGCGGTTTGTTCTGGAAGAATAAGGATTTTTTAAAGTTTTTTTTCATGATATTGACGAATCCTGAAATTTGGTTTTACAGACATTCGAATTTTTGAAATAAAAACATACTGCCTTATTCTTGATGAAACACCCAGTATATTTTGTCATCATCAGAAAGCGTGACTTTTTTAGTTCACAAAAATGTTTAATTTTTTTCAATTATCATGAAATTAAATCGTAAAAATTGCACTTGGTTGAAGGGCGTACTGTCGACTGGACAAAAAAAAATGATAAGAACTAATTTGTGTTTCAAATGCACTTATTTGTGTTTATTTCTTGTATTATTAGTTAACTATGCCCTAATTAGTTATTAAAAGTATTAAACACAAATTGATTCTCAATTTTTTTTTTGGTTAGTCGATGGTATTCCTTTCGACAAAGTGCAATTTTCACGATGCAAGTTTAAGATAATTGAAAAAAATTATACATTTTTGTAAAGTAGAAAAATCAGGCTTTCTGACGATGACAAAAGATACGGGGTGTTTCATTAAAAATAAGGCAGTTATTTTATTTCAAAAAATCGCATGTCTGTTTAACCAAATTTCAGGATTCGGCAATAATGTGGAAAAAAACTTTGAAAAATCCCTATTTTCACAGAACAAACCGAATCTCGTTATCTTTTCCCGTTTTTGAGATATTTACCTGCAAAATGTGTCAGTTTATCTAAGGACACCCTGTATAGTAGGGTTGGTCTTACTATCATGGTGTATATGCATCTCAAGATCTATTGTTTGCGTCCTCAGGTTTTGTGGGCCTTGTAGGGTAGCCTTGTCACAACTCCTTCAATGTGCTTTTCCATTCGAGTTTGTGTTTCAGCGTTATGCCATGCGAGGTATCTGACTTCACCGGTGTAATAGTAGTTCATTCTAGGGAGTTCTTTATTCCTTGCTACGGTGGTTTTTGATGGGTTTATATCCAGTCCCAATGTTTAACACGATTCCTCCGTTGTTTTGGGTCCAGTCTTTATGAGTTCACGCATGGTGCCCTCGAAACTTCCTCCTGCTACGATGTCATCGGAATATCCAACGCAGTGCAAGCCTAGGTTGTTCAGTATGTATTCCTTGTATTTCATCCATCATTTAGCTCCACCAGGAGTGAGCTTACTCCGCCCTGGCGCCAGAGCTGGGCTTGCGTGCTTTCTGCTTGCGAAAGTGCTTGAAGCACTTTGAGGACTTGAAAGCCCTGTGCTTCAAGCCCTTTTATAGATTTGTAATTGGGGCTTGCAAAGTCAATTACTTTAGAAAAGTGCTTGGTAATTTGTAATTGAGAAAAGTAATTCAAGCCCTTTCAATGAGCTTCAATTACTTTTAGAGGGCTTGAAGCACTTTTGGGAGCTTGAAGCCCTTTGAAAGGGCTTGAAGCACTTTAAGAGGGCTTGAAGCACTTTTGGGAGCTTGAAGCACTTTGAAAGGGCTTGAAGCACTTTGAAAGGGCTTGAAGCACTTTGAAAGGGCTTGAAGCACTTTGAAAGGAATTTGAATTGACCATCATACGACTTATCGCCCACTTAAAAATTTCCGATCGTGTTTTGTCCCTTAATTTTTTTTTCTATTATTTGAAGTTGAACCGTCTTATGTCTTTTCTCTCTTAACAATGGAGGTTTTGGGTTTGAGCTTAGAATGGAATTTCAAAAAAAAAAAATGAATGAACTTATTCAAATAAATAATTAATTTATATTGGTACCCTATTTAACTTTATCACTGGATTTTTTTCACTTTTCCCCATTGAACATTTTGAAAACCTTAAAATTGAATTACCATGTAGTACCCCAACTACCCCAAGTACCCCAGAACTACAATAAAGAAAAAAACATACTACTGCTACTCTGTGAAATCGTGAAATGTAAAGTTGGTCTCTCTACTATACCAATTCTGTGTGATGAGTGTACGCGATAGCTTATGCCACTTTGAGAATTTTATTACAAATTCGAAGTGCTTTAGGCACATTTAAAGAGCTTCAAGCACATTTAAAGAGCTTGAAGCACATTTAAAGAGCTTGAAGCCCTTTTCAAGGCACCCCAAGCACTATTGATGTGCTTCAAGCACTTTTGAAATCACTTCGAGGGCTTTGTGCTTGTCAAGCACTTTTGAAAATAAAAAGGAATTTGTGCTTGAAATTGAAGCACTTTGATAGAGGGCTTAGGGCTTAGTGCTTCAAGCCCTTTTACTGAGGGCTTTGCCCAGCTCTGCCTGGCGCTCACCTAAATAGACTCAATGACTACTGAAGTCTCTGCTGTCCTCGTGGCAAGCATTTTACACATCCATCAAGATATTGTATCGTGGACTCCCCTTCTCGTTAGTGTATAACCCCTTTTGTTGATGAATTAACTATGAGTCCATAATTTGCTCAGCTTGGCTCAGTAAAAAATTAGGTGTGTGTCAAATGTGTATACAGTCTGATTTGCAAATCACCCTTCAAACGAAATCGTGGCGGTTCGCCTGTTTTCATCCATTTTCTACTAGCAAGTAGCAGAATTGTCAGGGTGGCCCAACATGGACACACGTGAAGGTTTTCTTCTGGGAAGAAAAAAGGCAGCCTCGAAAACAGCCAATTTGTATCTTCAAAGGTTAGGGGAACCAACTCCACGCAAGACCCTAACATAATAGAAATATTCCCTTAAATAAGGATCGCTTTTGGATGGATTAAAAACTTACCACGTTGTGTGGGGTAGGATAAAAACTGAATTTACAGGAAAATCACAATGGGTGGTATGAATAAAAACGAAGTACTTGCTACTACTACAAGCATTAGCATGTTCTACGTAGTATTTACTCCAAAACGAAGTAGATACTACATTTCGACACTACCGGAAATAAGTAAATGCTTCTTTGTGAAGTAAATACTTCGAAGAATATACTCATACTTGTAGTAGTAGCATGTACTTCGTTTTTATTCATACCACCCAATACTTTTTGAATAAATAGCTTTCACATGACAGTACTGAAAGGAAAAACTGTGTAAAAATTACTACGTTCGAAAACTATTAACGAGGTTAAAGAGCGACGAAGCACCGAGTCGAACAGATCAAGATAGTATAAAAGAAAGCGCCTATGTCTTCTCGAAGGCTTTACCGATGAAATAATACATTCAGCCGGCAATAGATGCCGCCATATGGCTGCATAATTATATAAAATTTAAAATTTCAAAATTATTTATATTAAAAAAAGGAAGTGACATTTGCAATGTTACAAGTGCTCTCCGAATGGCCATATGGGATGTGTTGTCAAAGGCAGCAGCGATGTCTAGGAAGGCGCATAATGCGACTTCTTTCTCGTCTAGAGTTTCTTGTATCATGCTGTCTCAGTGGACCTGCCTGCTCTATAAGTTTGCTGACTTGCGTTTAAAGGCCACCTTTCCAAGGTAGTGGATCTGATATAGTTATCCACTGCATTTTCCATCGTCTTTAGAAGTAGCGATATGAAGCTTATTGGTCTGAAGGATTTGAAGTGTATCCCATCCTTCTTGCCTGCCAGGAATGAAAGTTAAATCTTCTTGTCCTAAACAACAGTATTTAAAATTACCAATAAATCTCTGTTATTATTATTAACCATCTAATTTTCTAGTAGGAAACTACTTTATTTTCACATACTCACAATCCAGATGAACGTTTTTACATCCTGAAATCCCTAAAACAATATGTAGATTTCCACGATCCCCCATGGGAAAACTAAAAATTTAAATTGGCAAGTCGCACGAAAGACGTCTTTGCCCGCGAAAAATCGTCGACTCGACGGAATTTTCAACATTTTATCTTCGCATACACGCCTTAATGCCCGCCAGATAAGAAGGAACGGAAAAAGGTTCAAAGCTCCGCTACTATACCAGAGAAGCGGATGCTCAAATTGGGCTAATCCCGAATTCAAATATTGTTCCCTAGCGTCTTTGTTATGCTAAAACGGCGTGTATTGTTTTATTGGAAAAACGCGGCAAAATATATACTTAGAAAAAAGGGAAAACGACAGGAAAGTTTCTTTTGGGGGTGATTTAGGAAGGCTATAAAAAACGACAGGAATTGTGAATAACAGACACTTTCTTGAGACAATTTGGCGCTGCTAAAGGATATTGGAATGAGATCCTAGAAATACGTGACTTGTCTGCCGAATAGATGCAATTAGTATAACAATACGTCTTGAGAAATCGTACTTTGTCTTAGCAAAATCTAATTTATTTTTACTGTAAAATTTCATTAGCTATAATTTCAACATTTTTTTTTTCCAGTGGGTCGAAGAGTCCTTTACCAACTTCCAAAAAGGCATAAACTGGAGATCGTACGTAGTCTGTGATGTGGCCTATAACAACGCCAACAATTGGCTATGGACGCCGTTTATCGATAGAGGAGAGGCGAACCGGATATACATCGAGATCAAGTTCACCATCAGGGATTGTAGTTTGTTTCCAGGTACGTACAAGTGTTTTCAGCCACTCGAAATTCGAAACTTGTTTGTCATTTTAATTCGATTAATATCTATTATTGTTGGATATTTGAATTGAAAATAGCTGGAATATTTGTGAGTTGGGGAATATGATAAACTTTATGCAACTTATAGCATTTATCCACTTTAGTTTTAAACATTGAATCATTCTCAGTTGTCATGAATCTGAATGCTAGATAATTTAAAGTCATGGCTCGTTCTCCATTTTCTGTGATAATAAAGCATTCTGGCTCTATTGCAGGTAAAGTTACAAAATTTATAATTCGCCTATCTCCTTCTACAGTAATATTTAAGTGTCTATCAAAAATGCATTGGAATATAATTTTAAAATCTCGTCTTTGTCTCGGATGGCCAATTTGCGTGATAAGTCATAAAAAAAGTCAAACCAATAAAAAAGGCTGAATAAGTTACGTTTATGGATGATAGCGCAACCGTCGCTGGGTTCATTTTAATAACTCTGCGGTCGCTTTTTTTTATTGTTCTAAAACCGAACCGATATTCTTATAACGATCCAAGCGCGGCAATTATAGTAAATTTCAATTCCCTAACGATTTCTATGATGGCCGAACATAAAATTTCCAGTTAAAGTTTTATTTGATTTGACAGCAATATTTCTTTTGAAGTAACCATCTTTTGGTGAATAATGAAGAATGTTACGTAGAAGGAGATAAGTTGATATTTGTGTGATTCTGCTACTGCTTGATTCTCTGGTATCAATTGATCAACTAATTTTTGAAGTAGCAGAAAAAGTAGAGACCATCCCTTAGGGTCGTTCGGGGCCAAACTTTACGATTCTAGCGAACCTTCACCATGAAATTTGGAAGTGAATATATTGCAAACCAGTGCCCAGTTTTTAATATTGAGTTCAATCTCATTGAAACCCATTCTTGCCATACTGGAAGGGCTCGGAATTCTAAGAGAAAGGCCATGTTTCTTCCCAAATAATTATGACCAATCCTTTGATTCGCATTATTCAATATTATAAATTCGTAGGTTTTCGTCCTGAAAGTTTTTAAAGACCATAAATCCTGTCGACCACATCTATGCAATATTGAACCAGCAGACAAACAAGAAAACTTTCTCAAAAAGTTCATTCTCTTCCAAAGGATTGATTCGTGTAGCCAAGTTTTTTGTTGTACTTCCAATGAGGAACCTTCAGCTAAAAAGGTTTTTGCTCTATTCAGAAGATTTATGGTACATTTGAGTACATTTTCGCTCCGCTGCTACTTTTGCTCTGCTCCACTCTATCATTAAACATTAAAACCATTTCCGGTTTTTATCTGAAAACAATTGTGATGCTTGGGGTGTTTAGGTTATGGACCTCTCCGCACCTGATTAGGTCTATTGTGCTTCCCCTTTTATCTAGTGGGTTTCCAGGTAAAGGCTTCTGACAAATAATGTTTCTGGGATTGGCCTTCCAAATCCACTGCCGTTAAGTAGGCCTGCTTCAGATCGATGAGCCTTCTGCAGCAAAATGCTTCACAGTTGCAAAGTATGTGTTCAGCAGGCATAGGTCTGATTTTGTTTCACCATGTTTTTCAGGTGGTAACCCAGTAAGAAGACCTGCAAGCAGCCCTATTTTATTTATTTAAGTATTTATTTATTGGTGCTGATACAAGGAAATGTTTACACAGGTCAAAAAAAAAGTAATAATAATAAAACATTGCAAAGAAATAACTAACAAGAACAATGAATAACATGAATAATCAATAACAATAATTTAGACATGTCGCAATTAAAATATTTATCAAGACTATAGAATGCTTTCTTAATTAAATATTCCCTAATCCTAGTTTTAAACTGCCTTGGTGGTAGATTTCTTACCGCATTGGGAAGTTTGTTGAAAAATTCAATGGCCATGTACCTAGGGCCGTCCTGACATCTCTTTAGCTTGCAAGACACTAGGTCATTTTGATTTCGAGTATCATATGAATGAACACTAGAGTATATCACATACTGGTACTTATTTTTCTTGGGATAAAGTGAGCACTCCAGGATATAGACAGATGGCAATGTCATTATACGAAGCCGATGGAAAACAACCCTGCAGTCTTCCCTGTAACCCAAATCCTGCATTATTCTAACAGCCTTCCTTTGCAGACCAAAGACTCTCTTAGATTGAGCGAGAATAGAAATAAGTCATTGTGGAATGAAACAGGTTAAAGTAGGCTGTTTTTAGAGTATTCAGGGATACAGAATTCGAGAGGCTGCGATGCATATATAAATATTTTCCTAACCGAGCAACATCATCAATTTGGGCATCCCAAACCAGAACCGGATCAAGCTGGACGCAGGAACCTTACCCGCTGAACGTCTCTCAGGGAAAACACCAATCTCTCCGTCTTATTCGGATTTAAAAGAAGCATATTTGATGCAAACCAGGTCTTGACTCTTCCCTCCACCACTGCAGACTGCCTAATGGATTCCTCAAGTGTAGACGCCCTAAGGAATATTGTTGTGTCATCGGCAAAGAGTGAAAACTTAGCATTTGGAGCTATTAAAGTTAAGTCTGTAATATATATTAGGAAAAGAATGGGACCCAAAATAGACCCCTGTGGGACCCCAACAGTTATGTCGCTTCTGGCCGATTCCACTCCTCCAACCCTCACTGTCTGGGTTGTATCAGAAGTTAGGCTATTATGATCAATAGAGTATGCCTGAAGCTTCCGCAGGAGAATCTCATGTCAATTCAATATCATCACAGGAGACGCAGTCGAAGGCGTTACTTAGGTCGCAAAAAAGAGATGCAGTGTACTCCATCACATCAAATGACTGCAGTACATAGGAAACCATGTCAAATACGCTCAGAGTGGTATTTCTGTCCTTCCTGAAACCAAACTGATAATCTGAAGAGAGCCTACCATGTTCAAAAAAGTCTGTAATTTGTTTAGCCATGTACTTTTCAAAAATTTTTGACAATGCAGGCAACATAGAAATGGGCCTGTAATTTTCAGGTAGATGTTGATTTCTTTTTTTGTATATAGGTGTAATTAATGCATGTTTGAGAACTTTAGGAAAAATACTTTCACGAAAGCAAATCTTTATCAGCTTGGTTAAAGGAATAACAATTACATTTATGACAGACTTCAGCAGTCTGGTGCTCGAACTGTACACATCAGTAGTATTTTTACTTTTGAGGCTGAAAATTATTTCTTTAACTTCATTCAAAGTGATTAACTTTTTTTTGGTAAGGTGTGGCAATGCGGCTTATGCACACCCAGTTCGACGTGAACTGGGTAGTGTGGGGCTCCCTCTTCACGAAGTGCAATGTGGAGAGCATACCCACTAGATAGAACTACACCGTCTGCAGGGGCTGGACTGCTGTGTTACGAACTATTCAGCCTGATTAACCGGTGTCTCATTTGTGGTGAACCCTTTCACTCCTTTGTTTTACGTCTATGTACTTTGTGCTGTTTTTTTTAAATCATTTTTTGATGCTGGTGTTGTTGTGGATCCTTCCTAGCTGAGCGGTGCCTCCCAGCGGCAGCTATTCCGGGGACAGTTGTTCTTGGATGCTTCTAAACAGATCCTTGGACCTTTTGTGGTAGGTACTGTGTAGCTGCCTTTCTTCTGTTGGGTCGTAGATCATCGTTCGGGTGAATTGCAATATAAGCATGAAATTTGGTTGCTTTATTCAGAATGAATTTTTTCAATGAAATCCATTTTAAGTCCCTGTGGAGGTCTGAGTTTCTCATATACCATGGCGCATCCGCAGCTATACGTAAGATCTTATTTTCTGTCTGTTCCATCTTTTTCATATGGCTCTTACACACATGACCCCAGGTAGTAGATGCGTATGCCAGCTGTGATCTTGTGACTGCTTTAACGATGGTAATTTTAACTCGTAAGCTCATGGAGCTCCTTCTATCCAAAATTGGGTATAATTGGTAAATTGCAGCTTTTGCATTGGTTATTGCCTTTTTGGTGTGAGACCTCCACGTAAGCCTCAAGTCCTAAGTTTTCGACCTCATTGCTCCATGGGATTATTTCACCTCCTATTATAATGTTGATTCCTTCTTTTTGGGAATATTATTTCCTGCGTTTTTGCTGCATTGATTTTGATCTTATTCAGGTTGCACCATTCCTGAGTTGAATCCATTTGATTTTGAAGTTATCTACTGATCTTTGTGGTGTTTCAGTGTCTGATCATTATAGGCGCGTCGTCGGTAAATAGTGCTATTTTTGTGCGGGGGTTGGTTGGGAGGTCGCCTATGGAAAGGCTGTAAAGCAAAGAGTCCTAGGACAGAACCTTGGGTTACTCCTGCCTCAATTCTTCTGGTAGAAGATAACTGGTTCCCTATCCTCACTTGAAACTCACGGTTTGTTAGATAGCTGTGAATAAATTGGCACCATTTAGGGGATAGATTCCACGCTCCCATCTTTTCTATCAGTCGTGAATTCCACAACTTGTCACGCTCTCTCCACATCGAGCATTACAGCTCCGGTTGCCATTCTGTTATTGAAACGAAACTGTCCAATTCTGTTATGCGCAGTGTTTGTTGTTCAGCCGAGTGTCTTGTCATGAAGCCAAACTGGAAATCTGAAATAAGTCTCATATTTTCTATTTCCTGTGACAGTCTTTTCTTCAGCGTTCTTTCAATAATCTTGCCTGAGGTGGATAGGAGACTAATTGGTCGGTAACTGTCAGGAGACTTGGCACCTTTACTTGGCTTCTTCAATACTATAATATTGGACTTTTTCCAGATCTTTAGAAAGTTATTATTCCTAATGATGGCGTTTGCCAATGCTGTTGACGCTCTTGGAGGAAGTTCCTTAACCATTTTGTTTTCAACCCCATCGTTACCCGACGCTCTCTTTATTAGTTTTATGATTTCGTCTAGCAGTCTAGGGTGAGGAAATTGATGGCATTTTTTGGCTTCGGCAAGCTTAATAATCTCTCAACTTCCCTGTCTGTTGCTATTATCTGCTCTACATTCTCGTTTTCCATTATTCCATTCGGTTCAATGTGAAGAGTCGCTCGAGTGTGTTAGCAAATGCTTCTGCTTTTTCAGCACCAAAAAGGGCTATTTCAGGGGAAGAATAATAGACTTGATTCTTCTTAAGGACTTTTGCATCTGCTACGCCGATTGATTGGCTGTGTCTAATCTTCTCAGTTTTTCATTCCAGTTGTTATCTCAATGTTGTTTGAGTGCTGCTTTCATAACATGAGAGTGTTTATTGAGTACTTGCTTTGCTTCTGGGATTTTAATAGTGGCGTATCTTCTTCTTGTTCTATTCTCTCTAATAATCGCTTGGAGGTTGGCTGGTAGAGATTCGATTGACCTATTTTATTGTTTTTCATCACTGAGTTAGTTTCATAAGCGTTTATAATTACATTAGGAAAAGATACTGCAGCTTCTTCTATTTCATCATTGGCTCTGATCTTTGGAAGCGGAAAGGTGGTCTCGAGATTATTTTTGGAGGCGGACCAGTTTGTGATCGTTTTCTTGACAATATACACTCTTTTTTGACCTCTACCACCTCTAAGTAAGTTTTCTCCGGAACGACTTCAGGTAGGCCCTCTCGAAAACATTCATAAACATAGTACACTTTCTCTCAGTATTCAGCTCACAAAAGCTCACAAAATCCCATGCCACTGCAGTCATATACTCATGGAACAAAAACATTCCTGACATTGTGATTGGTTTACATACCTTTCTTGCCAGTTCAAAGCTTCTGAGTGGGGTGGCCACATTAAATTCAATCTGTTGACCCAGATGATCAGAAATGCTCATATCAACAACAGAAAACAGAACTGTCTGAGAAGTTCACACAAAGATATGGTCAACTGATCTTGTAGCTTCGTTTTTTTTTTTTTTTAAGCCAAAGCTTTTTAGCAAATCACAAAGAACCACCGCTTCATTCTGGTCAGTTCCAAAATGGACATTAAAATCACCTGCTAAAATGATTTTTTTTTATTCATACCCAGATTATTTAAAATTCCTTCAGTGTTTTCCAAAAAGGTGTCAAATCTTCCCTGAGGAGGCCGGTAAATTGCTAAAACATACAGATTAAAACTCTACATAATTACCGCAACATTCAAGGCACTTTTCTACATTGAAAATATTCAAAAAACCTAATGACATTACATTAAAATTCCTATTTACATTAGACCCTCCTCCAGTGCTATATTTTCTGGTAAAGCAGCTGGCAGTTAAAAAGTCAGCAACTTGTATGGTCTCTTCATTTGTCATCCAATCATTTCCTTTGCGCTTATTGACTATTGCGAGAAACGAGTTGTTTCAGGAGCTGCTGGCAGTGCCATAAGAGTCTGGACAGAGCTACTCAGAGCGCTTAGTGCTGCCTGACCTGACTGACGGAATTGATATAGATCTTCGCTCTTCGCAGGTCTCCTCCGAGACACTTTCTAGCTTGAAGTTCTATTGTGAATATTTCCGCTTGAAATATGGTTGGGCTTTCTCCTAGGGCTATTGATGATCTACAAAATGGGCTGTATACTCCTGCTCCAGAGTCTTGCTTTGTTTTCGATCCGTCTGTATACCAGACAGATGCCCGTTGATTTTTCATGAGGTCACTTATAATGTTCCTATAATGCTTACTCCTAATGCTGAGTGTGGGGTCGTCAGCATACCTTAGGACCGTGATCACTTGGGCGCTTAGCGCGAAGAGAAGTTCATCTACTACCAGTGACCATAGCAGGGGCGATAGTACACTTCCTTGGGGGCATCCCTGGAATGCCGGCGCCGTTGTAGAGTCACCTTCTATAGTTGCATTGTTTGATTTTTCTGTTCTCAAGTATGGCTTCAAGCCATGCAATTAGGCAATAGGCATTAGCTAACGTCACACACCATGTCCATTTTCGATGGTGGAACAAACAAAGCGTTTGAAGGACTATTTATACAAGCAGGCTCTAGCGATTAGGTACGTCACTTTCGATAGGGGGACAAACCTATATATGAGAAAAGCCTACCCCAATGAGACAAACGATATTTCCCAAATGAAACTGCACAGACACCTGTTACCTGTTCAGAGAAGTTTGGTGTCATGATGTTTTCTATCATCAGTGCCACAGTTTTCATTGCTGTAAATAGTCCTTGAAGTTCTTGAACACTTTGTCCGTCCCCCATCGAAAGTGAGGTTATGTGTACGACGTCAGCTAGTACCTAATTGTAGTTTTGTCAAAGCCCTTATTTCTATCCGCTCTTCTTATGGATTCATGTGAGGTGTTATCGAAAGCTCCCTCTATATTGTCAACTGGTCTTTAAATAAAACTACTCTGTATATCAAAAACCCATTAAAACTTGAACACGATTCATCGACAGTCAGCAGTTTAAGCAGGTCAACGCGTAAACTAATGTTTACATGAAATGGATTTAAAAACTGATGCAGCCCAAGTTATCGGTACCCATTTGGGTCATTCTCTCCTCAGGGTCTCCTTACCCAAAGGAGCAATAGCTACACTTCTCTTCAGGGTCGCCTTACCCCAGAGAGTGTTGACGCAATCCTCTTCAGGGTCGCCTTACCACAGAGAGTCTTGCCTTCCAGGGCATCGCCGCCTATACGTGCGGGTGGTTATGTACCCACTAGCAGACAATATACGTTAAGCTCCCCCAACTTCAGGTCGTACCCACAATAGCCGCGAGGCGTGTGACATATGGTGGAGGCGCCGTTCGCAGAACCTGTGATGCTGAATCTCCCTATTTAGCATCGATGTACCTGAACGAGAGCACAGTGCCCAAACGAAATTATGGACTTTCGCCATTGTTTCAGGAATGATGTTTGAATGTACTGATAGTTGTTCATGAAAGTGTGATTCACCGAAGTGTCAAGGACACGGACACAGCCGTATCTCAGCCGATGATACGTTGTTACCTGAACTGAGTAGGGTAGGTTAAATTTTCTCAAAAACGCAGTGAGTTGAAGACCGTTATGGAAAAATTAGGGGCCACGCCTTGTTGAAGATGAGAGCAAGAGTGAACGTATAGGAAAGTGAGCCAAAAGTCGTTCCAGGTCTCAATTTGGATGCTAGGGGTCCCGAAACGGCAGCAATTCGAAAAGCGGGAAAATAGCCCATGGTATCGGTACCCATTTGGGTCCTTCTCTCCTCAGGGTCTCCTTACCCAAAGGAGCAGTTGCTACACTTCTGGTCATCTTACCCCAGAGAATCTTCTAGCAATCCTCTTCAGGGTCGCCTTACCCCAGAGAGTCTTGCCCTTCAGGGCATCGCCGCCTATACGTGCGGGATGCATCCCCGTATATGTACGTAGAGCCCTGAACGTGTGAATCATGTAACGAACTTACGTATTGCCCCTTTCGTGATGTACCCACTAGCAGACAATATACGTTAAACTCCTTTTTGTAGTTGTGTGTTTTCCTGAAGAGCAACCCCCAACCTCAGGTCCTAGCCACATTAGCCGCGAGGCGTGTGACAATATCAATGAATGCGCATAGGGCGGTTTCTTGACTTAAGTATGCCCTTTCAATTTTAGTGACAAGACTACGTAGGGCTATCTTAGTTGATTTTCCTGGCTGATAGGCAAATTGTTTTTTTTTTGAGCGGGCTTTCCATTAGGAATTCACTCCTGATGTATAGATCAATGATTTTCTTCATAGTTTTTAGGAGAAACAACTCTTACTCCAAGCATTCTATTCCTGATTTTCAAATTGGTAAATAAACATTTAATTTTAAATTCTCGTTTATTATTGATCATCTTAAAAGTTCAATGACTGGCCTATTAAAGCTACGTTTTTATAAAAATTATTCTTAAACCAAACTATCGATTGTAAGGATGAAGTATTTGCAAATCAATTTTAGCATTTAAAGCAAGAAGAGAAAATAAAAATATCAAATCGTGATATCGTAGACATTTTCATGGTACGAAATTAAACCAGAAGGAAATAAGTTCGTAAACTAATTTTCATTTTGGCTTTACTTGAGATTATTCTTTGCTCAGAGCGCGCGCTTTGAGCCGCGGCGGAAGAGATGTTAATTAAAAAAAAAGGATGTGCCTTTCTGTCTGTTTGATAATTAATTACCGGTCTATTAGGTTCTAGATTTCGTCAGGATTAAAGAAAAATTTGTTGCTCAAATTAACTTGTCTTCATATTATATTTGATTTCGTTTTTTTCACCCGCCATAATATGCTGAGTTGATGATGGGGTAGATTTGGATAAAATTAATGTTATAGATTATGCTTGGGGATTTTTTTGAACTTTTTCATTTCAATTCATTTGAAACTCAATATGAGCTTTGGGCCGACACATAAAAATATGACGAAGATTGCAAAGAAATGGGCATCTCCAGCACCCAGCTTATTTTAAACTCGGTTAGTTTCTGGCTTATAATTTTTTTGTATAGTTGTAACCTTCCCAATCAAGATTATATTGACCATAAAAAAAAATATATGAAAGTTATTCTCAATAAGCCTTAACCTTATGATCGTGAGGTGTTTAAGAAAGACATTATAAATAAAACGTATTTCTGAATATTATTATAGAAATAGAACCCCTTTTTTCAGCCAAGAAGAGTATAATTAAGAGATGGAAATTGATTTTTCAGGAAACGCGCTGTCATGCAAAGAGACGTTTAGCCTGTTGTACTACGAGTTCGACGCCGCGACGCGGGAGCCGCCTCCCTGGGACGCCGATAGATACAAATTAATTGGTAAGTTACTTCCTGTTTGTTGACTTCTTCCTTTCTTCTCCCGTTTTTTTTTTTTTTCGTTTATTGTGCCCTGGCGAGTAATTGATTGTCTTGTCAGTCATTCGGTTAGCTGAGCATAAATAATTTTTGCTCTTAACTATTTTTGTAGGTATCTTATTACGAAATTAGGTGAATTAATCAAATATAATAAGTAGGTTTTTCAAGAAACATTAGGTCACTGTGAAAAAAACAAAAGTAATTTTTATATAAAAGAAGATGCAGTTCCTATTTTCAAAGCAAAAAGACCAATAGCTTATTCAGTCATGGATAAAGTTGACCAAATACTTCGAAGGTTGCAAGAAAAAATATCATATCACTAGTTGAATATTCTGATTGGGCAGCTCCAATTGTAGTTACAAAGAAACAAAACGGAGATGTCAGATTATGTGGCGATTACTCTACTGGTCTCAATGAAGCACTTCTACCACATCATTACTCTCTTCCAACAGTTGGAGAATTTTTTTCAAAATTACAAAATGCTACAATTTTCAGTATCATTGACCTTCCTGATACTTTCTTTCAAATTGAAATCAGTCAAGAATCAAGAAAATATTTAACAATAAATACTCATCATAGATTTCAATACAATAGAATACCATTTGGTATAAAAGTTGCCCCAGCCATTTTTCAACAAGTAATGAATACCATGTTATCAGGTCTGAAAGGAACCACGGTATATATCGATGACATTTTAGTATCAGGCCAATCAGAGGAGAAACATTTTCAAAATTTAAATCTTGTCCTTAATATTGTTGTAGTTAATACGAACTACAACACCTTCATAACTTTTTTGTTTATGAAAATAATTGAGTTTTTTAAAAAATTTCTAGAGGTACTTTTTTAAACAGAATACAATGACGTAGGTACTCAATTTTTTTGGCCTTGTTTTCGAAATATTGAATTTTATATCTCTATCGCGTAAACTGTACCTACATTCACATTTAATAACTGAAAAGCGAAAAAAATTTCCTCACGACATACATTTACAAAATGACACGCATCGCATTACTATGCATTGGCCGGCGACAAAATATTTACCAAGCCAATATTCACAACTAATAATTCAATATCTCTCTGACAGGTTAAGTGACAATCGAGGACAATCTGCTTGTTCTCACAAACATTTTTCACTAAGTTGGTTGTGCAATAATCCATAACATGATTAAGTTATTACTCTGGCGATGAATTGACGGAAAAATTGGCAACCTTGCCTCATATACATAATATTTATGGGTTTATGTCATTTAAACCGAAAAAATCAAATTTGTTTCTCACTTCCTCGTTTCCATTTTACTTCCTCGAACGTCTTTGATTTATCGTTTTCCGTTTCGAGCTGTCGACAAACGTAAATTTTCGTATTCTTTTTCAATTTTTTTTAAGTGGTGAATTTTTGCCGATTTTAATTGGGCCGCTAACAAGTTGCCTTTCGGCCATCATTATCGGCTCGAGCACAAAATGCACTCTCGCGGTTTGGATAAATGAGGCTATTTGTCTCTCACCCGAGCACCATATTCATATTTAAAATAAATTGCCTCTGTAAGTGTAAAAAAAATGGAAAAAGATATAAAACAAAAAAGAAATCTCGGTTGCTTTGCATATACTATATTTTATTGGAGGGCGATTTCATTCTGACCCTTCAGAACGTTTATGATGCCCGTTTTAAAAAATGAAACAACATAAAGTTATAATAGAAAGTCGAGCCCAAAAAAAAATACATCTGGTGTAAAAAAAAGAGGGGAAAACAGCAGAGTGCGCGAGAATGGCAATAAATCTATAAAAATAGAAAAGCTGAAAGGGTGGTGTTAAATTCATCTTTTTTATCTCCTCCCGCGCGCTTCGTTTTCGGAAGAGCAGAGAGAGCCAGCGGCAGCTCTTTTCAGATAACTGGATACAGCAGCAGCTGACACAATATAAATTTTACGAAAAAAGGGGGAGCAATTTGGGGGAGTATTTGCCAGGTCAGCCCACCACCTACCGTGACCCAGAACTGGGACTTTCCAAAAAATTATACCAATAATGAACGAGGAATTTTGAATTTTAACTTTTTATCAGTTTTTGAACATCATTCACAGGATAATAACTGAGCTAAGTTAAGGCCGAAACCCACTAGCAACACGCCACGTCATGCTTCGCCACACCACGCCATGTGACGAAAATGTATGCGTATATGCTTCCATTTATTTATATGTGCTGCGTACACACTTGCCATACGCGATACCGTGCCATGGCACGCCACGCCATCCGTCCATTTGCACACAAACTGTCCCACGTGAACCAATGTCACATGGCATGGGGTGGCGTGGCGTGTTGCTAGTGGGTTTTGGCCTTTATGGTTTCGAATTTTTAAATCAAATTAATGGAAATTTTTTTGAAAGTCTTATGCCTGGTTCATTCATCTTCAGATAAACTTGCTGGTAACTATCTGCAATATTTAGAGTTCTATTTATTGGCGGATAACTGGCCAACCAACGGGATTACAGATTGCATACTTGACAGTTTATGAGGAGGTGAGTGAACCGACCCTTAAAAAAATTACAGAGTGAGCGATAAGTGGGACATGTCGAATAACTGGGACCTGGAACCTTGATGGTTCAGTGCTAGATCTAAACACATATGGATGGTCAGGCAATATTAATTTGTAAGCTATGGAGTAATTTGAATTGACATTAACGTTTAGTAATAGGATTGACGAATAATGCACCAACGTGACAGTACGAAATGAATTTTATACCGGAAGCGTCCACAAATCAGTACGAGAAGAGATCCAGATATACCTGAGAACAGAATGCAACAAACTCATCAAACAAGAATGATACTTTAACCTAATACCTTGAAACTTCTCAGAGAAAGGACAGATCAAACATACAATATAGAAAGTGAGGCTTTCTTTTCAACAGGGTATATATCGCGTCAAAATAGGTTGTTTGGCAAAAAAATGTTTGCATAAAAAATTTAAGATAACGGAGGTATTTGAGGATATTAAAATTAATAGGTTGAAAATGGATATAAGAATGCCGTCAGAATAGATATGCCTTCGTCATCGAGTAGTTTTATTAGTTCTATAGGAATTTCATCGGGTCCTGGACTTTTTCTTGCTTTTGATTGGTGTATTGCGTTCTGTATTTCAGATGTAAGAATCCTTGGACCGTGCTCTGTCATATAATCAGTCGATAGATTCTCTAGTGTGTCGCGAGTCTCGTCCTCGAACAGTTGTTCAATATACTGCTGCCTTCATTACCCTGATCTTCCTTTGTTAACAGTGTCTTTCCACCTGTTGTGTTTTTTTTGTATATGCCAGACAGTTGTTTTATCTTGTTATGTAAGTTAAAGTAATCGTCTATGGTCTGAAGCTGCTCTATTTCCTTGCAGGATTACCGGAGCCACAGTTCCTTGGCTTCCCTAATTTTTTTGCGTATTATCCGATGTACTCACTGTGATTGTTGTTTTTGTGTTTTCGTCTCTCCTTCATAAAGTTCAATATGTCCTGCATTATCCAATCATTTTTGTCTTTTTTCCCCTTTGGTTTTACCAACTGCTGAACTCGTCCATTTCTCAAAGAATTTTTGAGATCGCGCCAATTTTTTTCGACACTTTCGTTATTGAGGGGAAGTGATATAGTTGTATGTAAGTATATTACCATTTATTAGTTCTTTGATGGTTTCGGAGTCTTTTAGTATATGTTGTTGTATTTTTGAGTTCTTCGATGGTTGCTTCTTTTTTTTTACGACTAGTTCTGAGCAGAACTAGTTATGATTAGAGTGCACGTCAGTCGTTGACTTATTGCATTTCCGGAATCGCCGGTTGCTCAGGATGAAATCGATCTGATTCCTTACAATGTTGATCTGTGTGTGTTGGGGGGACGTCCATGTGTACAGTCTCCTATATGGCAGATTATATCACGTATTTGTAATCACGAATTCTTCTTCTTGGCAAAACTGTACAAGTCGTGTTCCTCTGTTGTTACGTATTCCTAGGCCGTACTCTCCGGTGACATCTTGTGTTGTTTTTCTGCCCACTTTTGCATTCTAATCTTCCATAATTATAGTAGTTTCGTATTTTTTTGTCGTCTTTATTATGTCTTTAATTTGTTGGTAGAACTCTTCGACTTCGTCATAATTATGGTCAGTAGTAGAAGCATAGACCTGAATAATGTTCACATTTACAGGTCTCATCGCCAGCTGTAGTAGCATTACTCGGTCTGACAAGGGTACAAAGTTTCGTACTGATCTGCTGAAGGATTTATTTAGTACTATAGCCACTCCGTTTCTATGAGAAGTATGAGATGCGTCTCTCGTTCCGGATGTGTAAATTGTATAATCTTCTGAGTCGAAATTGGTTGCATTCGGCCATCTTATTTCACACACCCCTAGTATTTTTATGTCCATTCTTTGCATATTCAACAGTAAGTTGTTCAATCGTCCCGCATCGTAAAGTGTTCGAACATTCCATGATCCTATTCTCAGATCGGAGCTTCTTATTTGCCGATTTCTCTCACGAGGTTTTCGTAGGCTTACGACCTGAGAAGCCTCGTGTTGTGAGTGTTTCTCCTCTCCTGCCGAATCTTGGTTTCCGATTTCCATAATTAGTAACATTTTGCAGTTGAGGTGTCAATGTCATGGTGCTTTTCCTGGGGAATCTTGAAGATCTTTAATACAGGGGTTTCTCATTGCCTTCTGTATCCTGTTGACCATTTTGCTGCTCCATCCGCCTGCGGGGTCAATTTCTCGATCCCAGGGCAAGAGGGTCCTTCCTTTGCCACCTCTTCCACCCGGAGCTGTTGGCCAGCAAGTGGTGACTGCTTATTCCGACAGCCGCTCGGTCATCAGAGCCTCGTTAGTTATCTCGCAGGGTGCACCGAATAACTAAGATATCACTACGGCAGGTGAGGTTGACATTTGGGTAAGCATCTAATTTTGCTTCCAGCCCTTACACCCCAGAGGAGGGTATACACAGGTAAAAAC